AATCTACTTTTTCATGATATTCTAATTTTATGACCAGCACCTGTACACTACCACATCTTTTCCTTCCCTTCGCCTCTGTGTTACTGTGCTTGGACACAGAGCTCTGTGAACAGTCAGCCTCTTTGGCAATGACCTGTTGTTTATGGTCCTCCTTGTGCAAGGTGTCAGTGGTCGTCTTTTGGACAACTGTCAAGTCAGCAGTCTTCCCCATGATTGTGTAGCCTATAGAACTAGACTGAGACCATTTAAAGGCCTTTGCAGATGTTTTGGGTTAATTAGCTGATTAGATTGTAGCAGCATGTGTCTTCAATAATGAACCTTTTCACAATATTCTAATTTTCTGAGATACTGAGTTTGGAATTTAATTAGGTGTATGTTATATTTGTATTACAGATATATTCAAATATATCATTCTGTGTGTAATGAATGAATATAATACAGGTTCACGTTTTAATAGAATTACTGAAATAAATCAACTTTTTCATGATATTCAAATTTTTATAACTAGCAACTGTACTGTATGTACTCTTATTCAAAAAATCTCAGATTATAAATCATTCTTTCTACTAAAACATAAATTAGCTGCAAGTAAAGATAAACAAATGTCTAAACTGTGCAAGAAAAAAATCTAAAGTCTGTAATTTTATTCACACAACTTATACAAAAAAAATGTTTAAAAAGCTGAATAATTAGCAAACTATCCCCCACTCTGAGATTATGCCTGCCCATGTTTTGCAGAAACATTAAATGATCACATTTTTGCGCTGTCATCTGGAGTAAAAAATAAAAAAATAAAATTGTCCAGAATGCATTTGTATTTACTGCAGAACAGCATCAGATTAATCGCTACACTTTACAACGTGACATTTACATTCCACTGTACTGGGCAAGAAAGAAAAATGAATCCAATTAGGACATGAAATGGATTTCATTAATCTGTTGTGGCTCGTGGCAAAGCTCTGTGAAGGCCTAACCAAACACAGCCTCTGATCACGCTGACTAATTTCTGTAGTTTTAGCCTAAAAACACTTTCAGCTGACCTCACTGGTTCTTGTTTGTCTCATTTTGGTGTAAAAGCAAAGAAAGAAATCTTACGTAAATGAAATTATTTAGGACTTCAGTGAGCCAAACTGTCATTTCTGTAAAACCCTGCATTCTTCTTTAATACTTGTTCAAACTCCATAAAGTACAGGATGTGTTTTATACTCAGAGCTGTAATTTACTTGATTGAACTCATTCTTCATTACTTTTCACAAGTAAAGTCAGTCAGTCATCACCTGACTGGGAAGTGTGAATGTGACTCAGCACCATTACCTGAAAGGAGAATTTCTCTCTTTTTTTATTATAAGAGCAGCTTTAGGAAGCGTGGCCTGGTCGTGTCCTGCAGCTGCACTCTGAGTCAGCTTCAAAAAGCCTTTTTATTGCTTCTCTGACAACAAGTACTTTTTGTTATCAGTGAAAATTACAAGATGTTTTGACATGCACCTGTCAACTATACACAAGCCTGCCTGCTGTTAAAATGTTCAGCTTCAAAACATGCATTTAAAGGGATAGATCAGATACTTTGAATAAGGTTTGTGTCTGTATTTCTGAGTGTTGGGATTTTAATTTTAAGTGCAGATCTCTACCATTTAAACAACGCAAGCCAAAGATTTGCAAATTTTTTTATATGACATGTTTGCATCAGATGGACTGGTTCCATGCCTTGCTTTGTGCCTGTTTGACACATTTCATAGGTAGCGCAGTGTTCACACCTGCACTGTTTAGTCCGATTTAATCGAACTCCAGTTCATTTGCCTGGAAAGTCCGGTTCGTTTGTGGAGGTGTGAATGCGTAATCTGATTCAGACCAAAAAAGCGAACTCTGGTCCGCCTGAAAACCTAGGTCTCGGTTCGATTGAAACGAACTCTGGTGCGGTTTGATTGCATGTATGATCACTAAGGTCGTATTCAGACCTGATAATTTGCTCAGCTTTAAACGAACCAGAGTTCGTTTCCAGCGTTGGTCCGGAC